GAAATGCCCTGTACTGAAAGAACAATAAACCCTGCACTTTAATGGTTTTGGTCTACACTTCAAGCTACAGACTTCTATATACAGTATTCTACATTGTGATTTTTGTTCAGTTGATATGTAATCTGACTTCCATATCTTACTATTATAGACATATTTATGATTCAAAATAGACTGAACAGCATTTCATACTATGTATAGTAATGAGAAGTCAAAACTGATGTGCCTCATAAACTATAAAGGTGCTAAGGCAAATACACTTGATTCTTGAAGAATGCAGGGGTTAGGTGTGCTGATCCCCTGTGCAGTCAAAAACCCACATGTAACTTTTGACTCCCCAAAGCCTACCTACTAATAAATAGCCTACTATTGACAAGAAGCCTTACCAATAACATAAACAGTTGATTAACACATATTCTGTATATATACATATACATATATATATATGTATACATATATATATATATATCGTATGCTATATTCTTACCTTAATGGAGTAAGCTAAAGAAAATGTTATTGAAATTTTAAGAGGAAATGTATGTACAACACTGTACTGTATTTGTCTATACTGTAAGTGTACAGGATCTGTTTACAAGGTGAATCATCTGACAGAAATGACAGATAACTGCTGCTGCACACTCCAATCTATGGTATATATCAAAGCAATTCTACTTTTCTAGTAATATCATGACTTTGCTTCTTGAGAATACTTCTAGCATCACTAGTGACATTGTATTTGGGTCACATGGTGTTATTCAAGGTTTATCTTATTGCACTAAACATAAAGAATGCACAAGAACCATGAGAGATTATGTTTACATGGAGATTAACATCACAAGATGTTTAAAGTGGGTACTCGCCGCACTTGAGCTCACTGCCATAGCAACAGGAGGTGGCTATCAAATTATTGTAGTAGTACATTGTGTACTACAGTTAACTTTATGCATTTATGATTTAATACTGTGTCTTTACATGTGTTTACTTTCTCCCAATTGTGAATGGTGTCATGTATACCTGTGTTTGTGTGTGAAAGTTTTGATAAATTTTTTAAAATTGATTTTTGTATATTTTACAATAGTATATGATAAGATAGACTATTATGTACATATATTTCATCCATTCATAACATACCTAATTTTTTAAAATATTTCTAGGTTGTGTGGTTCATCTTCAAGTCCTTTCAATTTATTGCAAGTTCCAAAAAATTTCCCAAGGTATTTTTTGAAAAAACTCTGCATATAAACGGACCTGCACTAATCAAACCTGTGCTGTTCAAGGGTCAGTTGTATTTGGTACAGGAATCCCACAGAACTTTAATGTAAAGATAAAGGCTTACAATTCATAGTAAAAAAAATTGAAAAGGAACAATAAAATGGCCTCAAGGGAAATAATAAATGCATTCTGTTTTAAAACAAACCTTG